TCAACGCGGTGATAGCAACTGTGTTTCCACAGCAGAAATAGATAAGAAAAGAGGAGGGATTCAAGTCTGGCTGTGTAGGGGGAAGCTCTTTCACATGGATCAAAGAGTGAACAACAGTTGTGCATACTGATGTTCCCTCGCATTCTTTCACCAATCAATCCTATAGACAAGCATCCAGAGTGACTGGCTTTTTGCCCTCCACGCCTTTTTCAAGTGAATCTGTCCGAATCCACCTGGTATTACATTTGGTGCGAGGGATTCTGTGTTGCTCGTCTTCTGCTATTGTCACCTGTCAGGTATTCCTCGGGCACCACCTATATCTGTGGTTGAGACCTCAACTCGATTGCGAAAGCAGATTACTTTGGCATTTTCCTTCATCGCCTGGGACTAGAAATTCACTTCACCCTCTTTACGGCGGACAGAGAGCTTGGAATATCTTCCAAAGTGAGTGTTTGTCCTGTTTTCCCTTCACTTTGGGCCTTATGTGTTGTGAAACTCCTTTTCCCTCCTGTCGCCAAACCGTCTCAACTTCGTCTTCGAATCTCCCTCCACTACTCATCACCGTCTTGATACTCGCTTTCGCTCCCAGCTCGTGCTTACAACTACTTCAACAGTCTCCCATTATCTTCGACCAATCGTCATCGTCAATCCAATATCTGCTCCCTGTCCTGCACCACTGCTTTGTCCAACTGCAATCATCAATCCTCAAGACATCTACTCTTTGAAAAGTCAGCCTTCCCTCCACACCTACCTTTGAGCTGGTCTCAATGTTCTCATCGCGATTAAGAACTTTTTTCAGTCTTACAAAGGCCCTGCTTTGTCCGAAAATCCTCTTTTATTCCATCTACTTCTTTCTTCCCTGGCCATCTCTTCTTTGTCGCGACCTCTCTACCCTGCTTTTCTCTAGAAGGCGTCTATCTTCTGCACTCCAACCAAAACAAACCCCAGCTCTTTCTACAAACACCTCCTCTTCTCCAATATCTCCAGCTCAGCTGAACCTGCGGTGCGCGCTCCTTTAATCCTTTTGTCATTCTACCTTCTAACACTCATTCGATGTGCTTCTTAAGTTTGAGATACTAACTTTGCAAATCAGGTTGAAAGCGTGTTCCTAAAAGAGGGAGAGCAGCGTATTCAATTGCAATTACACTACCAACTCTCCAATATCTCAAACATATATTTCCAGGACTTCCCAGAATCTATAAAAGAAAATGACTGGTCGCAAAACTGCTTCTGTCCACTCGGGCTCCCGTGCCCAGAATACTCGCGGAACTCGTGCAGCTCCTACTGAAAACCCTACGGCTGCCACTGAAGGTAATCTGTCAAATCCTGACCTAGGCAACCCATCTCTCCCGGACGTCCGCACCCAGCAATCTTTTGCCTACGGCTCCACCAAGACCCCTGCGCTTCCTCGCCAGCTTGAAGTTGATCCTTCTATGGGATTGTCCGAGATGATCGACACCCTTGATGATGGCTTGCGTCAAGCTCAAGACCGCGAACTTGCTCGTGTTGATGTTGAAGACCCAACTCACCCCGTTCCCGAAAGACGCCAAACCCGGTCAATGAGTGCATCTGTCCGGTCCAGCATATCTCCAGCCCCTGGACCTGTTTCCCGTAGAGCTTCATCTCGCAACGCCACAACGCGCAGCAGAGCAGGTCCCCGTAGAGCTGTCTCACGGCAGACAACGCCGGAAGAGCAACTTCTTGAAACTCTCCGTGAAGTATCTGAAGAAACCGAAGGAGTCAAACGCGAAGAAGACCCATCAGTCTCCGTTCTGCATGATACCCCGTCTTTTAACGGCTCCGCTAGTGTCAGCTGGACCACTGAGCGTGCCATCCATGGTATCTTGCCACGAGAAACCAATGCCGGAACTCGCCCAAACTACTACCTTCACGATCCATACGGTTCCCGACCTTCCAGCTCTCAGGAACCCAGCGGTCTTAGATTACCTCCGACTCGCCGCCCTATATTTGAAGAGGCATTCCGTGCGAACCCTCCTCTTCCAGGTCCTATCGACGTTCCAAACGTTTCGACATCTGCAGCTGCTAGAAGGACGCTCCCACCTGTTCCAGCATTCAACCAGCTACGTAACAAGTCTGCTTCGAAATCATCCGCTTCTTCTGCGTTTTCTGCTTCAATCCACACCCCGGGCTCCTCCACACACTCCTCTCCCGTCCTCGTCGCCGCTACCCCTGCTGGGGTCCGTGTCACCTCCAAGCAACGTCTCTCAGGAATCGCGAAAACTCCAAGTGCCCTGCTCGTCACTATCGGTCTTATCCTCATGACAGTACTCACTTATTTCTGCAGAGATCATGCCTGCATGTTTCCACAAAGTCTACAAAACACGATGTCTCACTACTTATGCAGTCCCGCGTCCACATTCGCAACAGATAACTCAACTTCCATGTACTCGGAGGCATTCCACAAGTTGTCTTCTCGTCTCGACCAACGACTGTCAGACATGGCCAAGGAAGTCGCCATTCTGAAAAACGAATGGAACAGAAGACTGCCACATCTCAAGGAAGCGCTAAGCGGATCCCCAGCAGCGGCGATAAACCCTCTAAAGCCGCCAAAAGTCAATTACGCATCGATTGGCATGGGTGCAGTGGTTGATCCGTACCTGACGAGTCCAACGATGGCAACATCGGCTGGGCTCGTTAGTCGGATCGGCCAATACCTCGCCAAGGTGCCCCGCGGCTCCCCGCCTGTAGCCGCACTCCAACCGTGGGACGGTGTCGGAGAATGCTGGTGCGCTGCCACGCGATCTAATGCTTCTCAGTTGACCATCCTTCTGGGACGAGCAATCGTCCCTGAAGAGGTGGTCATTGAGCACATCCCCAAGGGTGCAACGTTGGATCCTGGCAGCGCACCGCGGGAGATGGAACTGTGGGTCCAGTACATGGCCCGTCCGCCCACCGCAGCAGCAGCCTACCCCCAAGGCTCCGGCTCGTCAAACCCCTCCCCGCCCCCTTCGTCAGCGTCTTCTCCCCACGCACCATCCCCCTTTCCCCCTTCCTCTGCACCAAGCCAACCCCTCCCACCACCGCCTGCTACTCCCCATCTCCGAAACCCCCCGTTCTCCCACCTCCGCCCCTCCTATTACCCCCATCATCTCCTCCCTTCCTGGTTACGGGACGCCATCCTCACCACCCTCCGGCAGGTGTATCCGAACGAGCCGACCACGGCTTATTCGGACGACGCGCTCCTCGGCCCCTCCTTCTTCCGCGTCGGCCGGTGGCAATACAACATCCATGGCGGACACCACATCCAGCGTTTCGACCTGGATGCTGTCATTGACATGCCGGCCGTACGCGTGGAGAAGGTTGTGTTCCGCGTTAAGTCAAACTGGGGCGCGGCGCATACATGTCTCTATCGTGTGAGACTGCATGGACACCTATAGGCATACTTCCGCCGGAAGCTATGGGTCTTGGTGGAAATGGTGTTTTCTTTCTCCCCTAACTGGTAAGCTGGATGGAATGTACGGTGGTTAACTTGGTGGGTGTGGTTTTTACTGAGAGCGGGCTAAAGGGGGTTTCGTGAGTGTTCCTGGGGTTGTATTACATGCGTTGTTTGTGGGTATTATATGTGTCTTCTACAGATATATAGAAGGGCTCTTGGTGTTGAGTAGGTTGGGTGTTTGGGGTTTGGTGTTCTGGGTTCTTGATGTCGCTTTTCGTCTGGGTGGTGGATTTGGAGGGTTTTTTCGAGTCTGGAGTTTTGGGCTAGATATTCAACCAGGCAGGTGTGTGTGGGCGGTTTCTGGGTAATATACTGGACTTGGTCTTTGTTGCTGGCGGTGCAGGATGTCTTTTTATTTTTTATTTTTTATTTTTTATTTTTATTTTTTTTTTTAAAAAATTCTCCCCCTCTGTTTTCTATTTTTTCTTTCTTCCTAGGTTTTGTTTTCTGCCATTTTATGTTTGTTTTCTGCTCCCTCTCTCTACAGTTATGTGTGAGCGTTTTTTCTGTATCATTCCCACATATTCTCCTTCGTTTTTGATTTTTGATATTTTTTGATTTCTATTTTCCAGCTTGTGTGTCCTGTCTGTATCCTGCATATAAAGCTACGTCTTTTCTTCTTACAGTTTATTCTATTTTATTTTTATTCTTCTGTTTGTTTACCTTTTACTGTGGCAAATGTATTTATCAATTTCCCGTGCATCTACCTGGCATAGATTGCATGACGTTTATTAATAGTGAGATCCAACTCGGCTCGCAAGAGTGAACGGCATATTCCAGTTTCAAACGTAGCAATTGTGGCCATCCTATCCTGAGGTCATTCTGGCGCATTAAATGCACCAACGCGCCAAACGTAACCTCCCTCGTGGGCCTATGGTTATAGGAAAATAGATGATGACCAGACTAGATTACCCAAATGCCAATCAATACCTGGTGCATTCGCATATGCGTTCTGCAACCCAAGCGCAAATCCGCTAGGCCCATGCCCATGCCCAAGCCCAAGCCCATGCTCATGCGCACAGGCTCCAATGCCAATAAATCCCCAGGTCCAAACAAAGACTCTTTTCACGAATGCTGAGGATGCAAAATTAAAGGATTAAATGAATAAGCGAGGAAGTCGAAAAATAAGTTTTTTATATATATATAAGAAATCCAGATCATCAAAAAAAAAAAAAAAAAAAAAAAAAAACCTCTTTACGTTTCTATGTGTCTCTTTACCAATCTCTCTTACCATTCCAATTCGGTGAGATTATTTGCGGGGAGGGGGGGTAATAGTTATGGATAACAGCTTTCCAAATCTTATCCTCCACCCCATGAATCACACAAATCCAGATCCTCTACACTTCAAATTTCAATATTGGAAAAGACATCAGAAGCCCCAGAGAAGAGAGATTCTGCTGATTTTGCAACGAAACCTCACCGAGATTTCAAGGGGTGGTGGCCGCTGAAGGAGGTCAAAAGTCAGGCCTTACTTACTGTTTCAAGAGGTTGTAGGTATAGTGTTGAATACTTCAATGCAGCATTCAAAGAGTGGCAAACTTAACAGCATCAACATCACCATATTCAGCACACCTCCAATCCTGCCAGTGAGGGTTACAGATGGTGATGGTGAGATCAGGGGGTGGGGCAAGAGAAGAGGGGACAGGGAAGGGGACAGTCATGCTTTCTTATCACTCTGGTATCGTATAGTCGGGTAATTCGATCCGTAAGGAGCACTGCTCGTCCCAAGACGAAAGAAAGGGAAATGAAAGCGAAAGCAAACATGAAGATACAGGAAAGATTTCGATATCGGGCTTTATTTTCATAGGAACTGCAAGCAACAGTCTCTGCGGAGCCGTGCATCCACGCGCTCTTTCAGGCTGCAGGGCGTCAGACCCAACCCAATATCCATACGTCAAGGGTGTTAGCTGTTGTTCTTTTAAGCAGAGCAAAGTTAGCACTCTTTAGCAGCCTGTGTGCAACCAGCATATGATATTCTGTGAGTATGTTTCAATTCACAGGAAGCTTTTCAATCCGTTAACATATCACACAGGCAGTTTGCCTCGTCAAGGAGTGAAAGCCTTCCAGCTGCACACAGGGTGCGCTATATGAAGGTTGAACAGGGTATGCCACCCAGGTAGCTTGAAAGGTTGTCCTGGGTTTTGGGAGAGGCTTTAATGGGCGGAAGAAGGATCCAATGGCCACGGCATCACCATCAGCCAGAGGTGTCCGTCCTCGCCGCTGATCATGACAAGTTGGTAGGTTCCAAAAGGGCAATTCTCCTTTAATTGCAGTAGCGGTACAACATCCAATGCTCACCTACGCTGTCGTCGGGTGTAAATTCGTCGTTTCTGGAGCACACTACAAGATCCCCACACACACATCTCACCCATGTTGTTGACAGCCCTGGAGGCATTGAAGCTGGCGCCACCGCGAGGCCCAGAACTGGGGACATTGAATGCTAAACCCAATCCATTTTAGCCGCGGTGTAACTTTGCTGGCTCCACGAATGGCTGCATCCTTCGATATCCCAAACGCCGATGGCCAACCCCTACGCCACCTGGATGGCGACTTCTGGAAGCCGATAGCGTTCAGTTGCTCATGAAGGGCGGCAAGCTTGCTGTCCCGCCACTCCACTCTGCTGGCAATCATCAGAACATCAGAATATCAGAATGGAGATATGAAACGAAGCTCGTATTCAGTCCACAGCAATGGCCGTGCCCACCATCTGCTGTGACTCAAGAGCACACACAGAAACAGACGAAGTCCCTTCAATATCCAGCCAAAAAACTCTCATTTTGCTTGAAACAGAACTTGGGAAGCTTTTGGCTGCGCTAACCTCGTGTCTTTGTGCCCTCCACCAAGCGCAGTCATTAGCGTCGAAGTTGGATGGTGAATAAAGTAACCTCTCTTCCTTGCCCTTCGATCCTGTTGCTTCATCAGCTTACAACCTAGCAGCACCGCTTCTTGGAGTTCCGAACCGTCCTCTGTTGTTAGCCGACGTTTATCGCTTATCGATTCGCTCGTCTACCTAGCGCTTCTTAGAATCCATATTGGTTGGTTAAAAATGACGACCTCTTCGTGTCCACGGCCTCTCGAGGCTCGACAAATGGATCCATCCTATGCTTTCGCTACACCTGCACCGCGAAAAAGACGTAGAAAAGCTGCTGGCAATGGTGCGGCCGACGACTGCTTTACCTGCGCTAATCGCAGTATCCAATGCGATCGACGACGTCCATACTGCACCCAGTGTCTGGGTTTGGGTGTGCAGTGCTCGGGTTACAAGACCACCTTGACATGGGGAGTTGGCGTAGCTAGTCGAGGCAAACTGCGCGGGCTCTCCTGGCCTGTTTCTGGCTCCCAACAAGCTGCTTCTGCCACCGTCGCGGATTCCACTCGACAAGCAGCCGAAGCGGAACGCCGTCCTACTCCGTCTTCGTTCCAAGTGCGTTCGGCCTCTAAGGAAGCCACCCGCCCTGCCTCGAAACGCCCTCGACTCAATCGACGGCCCAGGAAGGCCACCACAGCGACCACTACCGATCCGCTGCTGCACGTCGATGTGACCATTTTTCCATCATCTGTCTCCTCTAACAATGGTATTTCTCAAACCAGCACACCCGCTGGCTCGTCGATGAAGTCTGCTCAACAGTCGCAGAGAGAGATCAAACATCCGCTTCCTGTAAATTCCGCGGCTGCCGTGCTATCAAGTCGTCATAACCATGGCCGTGCTGTTCTTCTCCGAAGGCCAAAGGCCGAGTCTGACCATGTCGAACCTTTACCTGGGAGCCCATGTCTCAATAGGACCACCGCGCGTCCTCTCCACCTACGTGCTTCCCACCCAGCCATAAGCAATAACGATGTCAACAACATGTGTTCAAATTCAACGTCGGTAGTACAGGGATATAGCTTGAGGAATAGCTGGAATCATAATTCTTTCGCAAAATCTCAATTTGAAGCTCTTCCCCTCTGCCCGCAGAGGGATACATATTACGCGAATAGCGAAGAACCGGAGGAAAGCGCAGACACAACCTCTCTTACCCAGACGCTCAAAGAAGGATCTACGCCTCCTAATTGCTCTCTGCTCAATGCCGACCATCGAGACGCTAATACCCCAAACCAGACTTCATTTGTCCCACAGCCCATGCCCATGCAACTCATTGGCGGGACACCTCGCATGCAGTATCTCATCAGCTACTATGCTGAAGTCATATCCCCTGTTATCGTCGCTTTTGATAGCCCGGCAAACCCCTACCGCATGTTTATTCTCGAACTTGCCAAGAGTAGCGACACCTTACAGCATGCTATTGCGGCGCTTTCCTTGAGCAACCTCAGACAGCGGAAAATGCACAGCGGTTTGTCTACGGGGAAAACGTTGCCAGTTCGCATGTCCTTGACCGCCCATTATCGTCTGGCAGGACTGTCTTGCGAGGAGGGACTTGGAAGACTAGGTGTCGAAGAGCAGCAGAAGGAAGAGTTATTCCACAAAGCAATGGCAATCAAATCACTTAATGCTCAGCTGGCACATCCTACCCAAAGGTTTGCGGACAGCGTCCTTGCCACGGTGCTCGTCCTGTGTCTTTTCCACATGTGTGATACAGGGGTTTCTAAGTTCCAACCTCAACTTGCTGGCGTAAAGAAGCTGCTTGCCCTGCGAAGGAGCGCTAATAGGAATTCCTCTAACCTTGTAAATTGGTATACACGTATGTTCGTTTGGTTTGATGTGATGACCGCGACCATCAACAATCGTGACTGCGAATTTACCGGTGACTACCTGGATATTGTTTCCAGCGGCAATGATGACTGGGCGTTTGCGAACCTAGCGGGATGCGATGGCTCAATGTTTAAAATGATCGGCCAGCTGGGCCGTCTGAACATGCTGAGCCAGGAGAGAGCAAAGGACCCTTGCTCTTCCGTGAATGAACAGCCTGTCGCAACAGCTCTTCTCCCACCGAACATGCTCCACAAAACCTCCCTACCGCCCCCATTCAAAGAAACCTACAATAACACAAATCCAATCCAACTCCATGCGGAACATACCATTCAACAACCACCACCATCAACACCAGCGGACTTCGACTCCCGCGCAGAATTCTGGCGAGAATGGCAGGCGCTGCGCCAGAGACTCGAATCCTGGCACCTCCAGCTGCCCGATGGCTACCACACAATAGATTCCGCAACCATCGCCTCCCCATACCAGTACTCCGCATCCTCACCACTAACTCCCGCACATCTATCCCCCACAAAACTTTCCGACCTCTCTAACATTTCTGAATCCTTCCGTTACTCCGCTCTTCTCTATCTCGAACGCCTCGCAAACCCCAACCTCCCATCCTTCCACCCGCGCATCCAAAGGCTCGTCTCCGCCTCCCTCCATTACATCAGCGCCGTCAAGTCCGATGTCTACCTCCTCTGGCCGCTCTTCGTGACCGGCGCGGAGTGTACCCTCGAAGACCATCGCGCATTAATTCGCCAGCGCTGTTCTGATATTCAGAATGATTCGGGCTTTATCAACAATCTCGCCTCCCTGCGGGTGCTAGAGAAGATCTGGGCTGCAGATTCTGGTGATTGGAAGTCTGAGAAGCAGCAACCGACTTCCTCGGTGGTGATGGCTTCCACGGGCATGAAGGAGAATAGATCCCCTGAGCGTCGGGAGAACGTGGATACGGGATTTGGGGATGGCGCGGCAGTCGGTTTTATGCCACTGGCAGTCCCAGAAGGTGGTGAAGCGTTTAAATGGAGGAGAATTATGAATTTAGAGGGATTGGATGGAGAGTATATTGTGGTTTAAGGGGTTCGAAGTGTTTGTCCCAAGTGCGTATATAAGCTGTTGATTGGCGGGCAAGGTACATCTTTTCCATCTCATGTAATGAAATAGCTCATTGGTGTATGTATATTTCATGTTTTAGGTATCTTGATATTTGTCTCCTACGGTACATAGCTGCTTCCAGACAATACGCACCTTACTGTGTTTCAACTCTTATTCTTTTTCGCAAACCCAGCTGAGCGAATTGGTCTCTCCAAATAATGACCTCAGGCAACTTGAGACATCTCTCCATAGCCACACATCCCACGCTAGCTTGGCGGTTTGACATATGCCCTACCGGCTTTATACTGCTTCACCTCGCACAAGTACCGTGCAATACAATACCCGATATCAAATATGCACACACTTGCGTTTGCAGTTACATACACCATTCACGCTTCTTTGAACGGTCTACTGTCTACTCCACACGCTACGCGATGTCTATTTTGCGCCCCCTCTTTCTTGCCAACGTGCGTGGAATCGTTACACACGCTTGTGTCACTCATTCCACGGGGCCAGGCTGGGGGTTGCTCGTTGACATCTGTCAAGGTGGCTTTGGGTGACGGACAATATCATCAACCCCCCCACTCCCCACCCGCCGGAGTGGGTAAGTCAGTTGAACTTTCTACTGTACGACACGATGATGTGCGAGGTTCGGGAGTACAGACTAAGAAACAAATCATCCATTGTTTCGTGTTCTGTGTGCTTTTATGTGTTGCAGGAACAATGCCGGCCTTGTGTCCTGGGCTGCTGTGTGCGATACGAGTACATTGTTTTGTGCGATGCATTGCGTCGTGATGGGAAGTGATATCATTTAGTTATTTCCGGTAGCCGCGAGCGAGCGGAATTTGGGCATAAATTTGGTAAACTTTTCTTTTTTTGTTAATTTGCTCTCTCCTCTCTAAAAGTAACACAAGTTTTATTAAAAGCGCTCTACGTCTTGTTACGTAGTTGGCTAGTATGCTCGCCCTCCATTTTATATGGCTTATTTCCTTCCACAGATCATTGACCGTTGTCGAATGACAAAAACTCGACCTCTCAGTAATATGTCGACGCATTGGAAATGTAACGGAAGGCTTTCCTTGTAATAACAAATGTAATACATCTTACTCATCTCTTCACTCACCTGCTTTTCCAGGAGGAGGAGGAGGAGGAGGATGATGATGATGATGATGATGATGATGATGATGATCAAAATATCCGTACAAAGCAACAGAAGAAATTGGCAGGTCCATCCACTTATCCATCCATGCATTGATTGCCCTGTTACTTCAGCGACAACTCACCCCCTTCGACAACCAGTCGAATAACTTCCTTATTCAACCCACGCCAATTTTTCTTGGCACTCAGGAACCAGTACGACAGCGCAAATAACGTGCTCACTCCAAATATGGGAAGAGCATAGTTCATGTTCACCCCGCTCACGGGCAAGTAGTTGGGGAATGGCAGCCATATCGTCACGTAGCAAGTGTAAGCCAGAGCAAAGATATTGACAGGCAACCCCAGACGGCCCATCGTCCAGTCGCCAAATTGGAGATTCTTCTGCTTAAATCGTGCGTGGACCATGCAACTAATGGCAATGATGTATGAGGAAAAGAGGCCTATTGAGGAGAGGGCGATGAAGGCGCCGAAAGCGGCGGTGCTGGCGATGTTAAGGCAGGAGAGAACCATGACAATCACTATGGGGAGCCAGACGGCGCGGACAGGCACGGAGTGTTTTCGGTCGATCTGCATGAAGACGTTAGTTAGATGTTCTGCTCTGAAAATAGTGTTGCCAGGGGAAGTGCGAAAGTAAGAGCTCATTTGGAAAAACGAAGTCATGAGGAACTCACATATGAGAACCACGATGGAAGACCACCATCGCGAGACCACGCCCATGTAAGGCGAGATGTAGACGCAATGCTGGCTAGATTCACTGCAAGAGAGATAATCAGGAGACCACAGACCATAGCTGTGGCTGCACTGGTTGACCCGGTAGCTTGTTGGCAAATTTGGATGATCGGCGAGGGCGCAGTAAGGGCGTCCTCTATCGAACCCATTGTAAATAATATGGTCAAGATGATAGCGTAGGCAAAAATGCCGTTGATTGCAACCGTCCAGAACATCGACCGAGGGACAGCTTTTTTTGCACGACGCACTTCTTCGCTCATATGGACAGCTCCATCAAAGCCTTTGAGCTTGTTAGGAAAGTGGTCTAGCTTCGAGTATTTTGTGTATGTCTGGAAGATGTGGGCAGTAGAGACAGGATTGATAGAAATGGGCATAAGAAATGGAAGGACGGACCAACGAATCCCCACGTCGGGGTCAGCAACCCCAGATTCCAAGATATGAACCCATTACTCCACCCTGAAGCGGAATCGCCCTGAAGAAAGACAAACCTTGCGGAATGGCGTGGGCCCATCCCAACTAGGATAGAGACGAAGACAATGAACAGCGAAACGTGCAAAATACCAGCCAGCAGCTCGATCCAGGGAATAACCCAAAAGGCATACATATTCATTAAGCCCTCGAAAATAAGCATAGCAAAAATAAACAAAGTCAGGTGCCATCTTTGGGGTTGATAACCCGGATAATTGGCCGTCACAACCCCTTGGAGCATGTTGGCAGTGGTATTAGCGACGCCGGCAAGCAGAGACACCCAGGCAAACCAAGTTATCCAGCCCTGCATCCACGTAATAAATCTTTTCTGATTAGGAGGCGCCAGATGATGTGTCCAGTGGTATTGCGCACCGGCAATTGGCTGCATTGAAGCCATTTCTGCCAAAGAGGCGGACTGCGCAAGAGCTCCGCAAACAACCACGATAATGCCCCATGAAAGTGCTCGAGGTCCACCGTTTGTAAAGGAACCTGTGAGATACCTAGCCAATGATTTCATCAGCGAGGCTGTAGCATGCGTATATATATAACGCGAATTGGGAGTGGTGATATGTTAATTCGTAAACATAACCTACAATGCCATGGTCTCCCAGCTTGACATAAACGTAAGGGCGAAGAAGAAGATCTGGGTGAAATTAAAGAGTTTCTATATTCTTCTATATTAGCTGGAGGAACTTTGCGCATTACCCGCCAAGGTAGTTCTAGGGACATATATCGCACATACCTTAACTCTTACCTGGGCTCGGACTGTTTCGCCTGTGGTTCTACTCCGAGAAGGGGGGGACAGGCTGTCACCATTCCGGCCATGCGACGATTCAGATATCATATCGCCATTGTCCTCATGGGCCGTAGCACCATTCTGCTTGTTCCAAAGTTGCAGTTCGCGATCCTCCATTCTTGACCCCCAAGCACTTCAATTGACTGCTGAGAAAGCTCTTCCTTGTGTGTTGATAGTTGGAGTGAGCGGGATACTAAACAGATGATAACAGGGCCAGGCGCGACTGCTACTCAGGAGACAGAAGACGTCGGCAGCATCACTCAGTTGCAGCAGAGACAGTCAATCGATTGTGTGATTGTCAACCGTTGAGAAGAATCTGGCACAATCGGTATGTCTGCATGCAATAAACAAAAGACCCAATAAAGGAAATGAAAAACAAGCTGCAACAAAAAAAAAAAAAAAAAAAAAAAAAAAAAAGAGAGAGAGAAAGAAAAGAGAGAGACTGCCCTTGTGCTGCCTTCTGCAACGCAGGCTGCTTGCGCGCAACCAAGGGCTCTCAGAGCACACAGATACTCGATCTCGACCCGAATGGCCGCGCTGCTGCGGGGAGCTCTGAACGTGTCAGACAGCAGGCCCTCGTGGGAGAGAGCGACATGGCCCGGTACACGATGCATTCTGGTTGTCGAGAACCTCCCAGACTGTCAAAACAAATTCATCTTGCTGCTTGCAGGTTTTTTTCACGGCCGACAAGCGGATGGAAAAAGCATTTGGTGCTTAGCCAAAACCCCAAAGGGTCTCACCGCAATCCCAAAAGCCCACGGAACATTTCCCAGCTTTTCGAGGGCAACAAATTAAGTGAGGGCGCACAAGATCCACCAAACAGTACAGTATGGGCTATGCGTCATCCTATGGCTGCCCAGAAGTGTGATGTGTACGACATACAGCTTTCCGGTTGTCCATTCAGCGCTCACCGTCAAGCCTCTGAACCATGATTTCAAGCATCTGCGTCGATGATCCAGCCGGCGAGCCGAAGTCTCAGCAGAGCGCTGTGTCGCTGGACGAATAAGACCCGATGAGCGCGTTGGCATTTCCCTTTTTTGCCCTGGCCCTCCTAGAGTATGCTCGCATGGCTCCTAGCATACTGGATGGTACGGATTGGGCTGCGCGATGCTGGGGGTGTGGGATGGAATGGAGGTTTGCTCCTAATAATAGTTAAACCGCCTTCGATCCCTTTTGAGCCCAATCCGGCACATCAGCCTTGTCTGTGCAATGATATATATTCTCATATAAGACAGCCACCTGCTGTGGAGTTGGATCTTGAACTCGGGCATCTATGGAGCCGTGTCTGTTTAAAATTCTTCCAGCGTCGTAGAGGGGAGAATCTCCGCTCTTTGGTGGGCCGCAATGGGGCAGCGAGAGGAGGTTCTTAGTCCGCCTTTCTTGAAAGTTACTCCTACCGACCACGGCGCTTGGGTTATCCTGTCCAGTTGCATCCTCCTTATTCTAACCGTCATCGTGGTGCTCGTGACTCTGATATCACGGGCAAGAGTGCTTCGCAAACTGGTTTTATGTGACTTGTTACTCTCCTTAGCTACGGTTGTTTTCTCCAAATTTAGTCCATTCTTCCGAGACATTTTACTGACTTGGTTTGTTGTTCCTAGTTACTTCTGTTTGTTGAGACCATTTGTATAAATTTCGCTTGTTCAAATGGCCTCGGTCGGCATCGCAATGCCCTAAGCGAGAAATTATTCCAGTCGTTTGCTAAGGTATGTGCTGCCTTTGCCCAATGTCCCCCCTCTCATCCAGAGTTAGTATCGCTTATTTCATGGGAGTAGTTCTTCTATGCTAGCCAAATCCTTGCTATCGCATCGCTGGCTTGCTCCAAAGTCGCCCTGGCTTTACTTATCATTTACATCAAGCCACTGAGTGCTGTCCTATATGCGTGTCGCTGTCTCATTGCAGCTATCGCTGCCTGGGGGGTAACGGGAATCATTGCCTTAGCAGCTCAGTGCGATCCCCCTCGGCCGTGGGATTTCAGTGACGGAAGATGCGTAAACCAGCATGCCCTATATACTGCACTTGATACGCTAAGCATTATCACCGATATTGCTCTGATCATATTGCCGTTCTTCCTAGTATTTCAAGTTCAACTTCACACTCGAAAACGACTAACGATTGTGAGCTTCTTCTGCATGCGGATATTGTAAGGGAAACTCCAACAGCTACCTCCAACAACTGCCTCCCTCCTAGGTTACTAGCCCACTTTACTTTTTGGAACTCGCTTACATTCTTCAACTCATAGTGTTCCCCTTTTCACGATATTTTCCTTAGCCTCGCAAAACCAGTATTTCAGCTCAAGGCCTCTCGACAAAACATGGCATGCTGTGCGACCTACAATCTGGGCACAAGCAACGCTCTGCATATCAATAATTACAACATGCATCCCGAGCTTGAAACGTGTCATGGCAGACCTCCAAACGGGGCTGATGGCCGGCAGGGTGACCGAATTTTTGGAGCTGTCCATATCTGGCGGGTCGAACTCTGCAACAGCCGGCCAAGTCAATAATAATTCAGGGCAAAAGACGACGCAAGCAAGGCGAAGCTTAACGACTGTGTATGGTGCGGGGACGATCGACCAAAATAGTGGCAAAGCCCTGCATCATGACGAGAACAGTGGCCAGAGAATTCGGAAAGGGTACAGGAATTCCATCTTGCTGCGGAGGGGAGCGGATCCGAAAAATAAAAGTCTGAGCGGCGGAGCCGAGAAAAACGATGAGATGACAAAACAGGGCGAGCCAGGCCAAGAAGAACGAACACAGAGTATGCCAAATCCCAACAATGCGATCGTGCAGACGATTGGATATGAAGTACGGTATGATCGAGAGGGGGAACAAAGGGAGAGCAATGACCAACTTTGTGGCGGTGCAGATCACCTGCATCATGCAGCTTCATCACAGCAATAACCATTAAATAATGAATGAATAAATAAATAGAAATTCTGAACCCTGATTTTCGTAATGTGGCTTCCCCGTTTGTTCGATCGTGTGTCTCGTCTGCAAGTCTTCGTTTTGCTTGCGAGAACACATTCTGAGCAGAGCCCTCTCTTCGCTCTAGCTTTGTCAAAAGTCAACATTGTTACCACGCTACGACTCTTGGTAGGAGTTAAATGCATTGGGGACCAACGCCACACAAAGCTCTGCGAGCATACAAATTCCAAAGAAAAGCTTATCCCAAACCTGTTGACACTAGCAATAAGCATCGAGCAGGGATGCCATCATGGTCCGGGTACTGGACCCTAACTTTAAGCTTCAACATCAACGTCGATCGGTAGATCGATAAAGAAAAAGCCATCGACAAGGAAAAAAGCCTTCAAAACAGGGATCCGGGTTTGGATTTAGACCCCTTATTCAGGGCAGAAAATGTTATACGTCTCCTTGGAGGGAGGGGGTCATTATCATTGTCATGACAAAGAAATGCAAATGTTGTCTGTCGGCGGACGTAGCAAGCAAGCAGGTAGGCGATTATTTTGCTTTTTCCCCCTTCTCAGCCAGACTGTTTAACTGGATTGTTGAGCCAGTCGCTATCCGCGGCGAGCGCAGGCTATAAAGGGCCTGGTCCTGGTGCAGTTCTTGGGTCCACGTATCAACTGCCATTAGACTAAGCATGCTAGTATTGCTCGGCCTCGGGAGGCGATATGGGAGATGCGTTCATTAGATCGTCGTTTGGCTGATGTGCCCCGTACATGTAGGTATGCATGCGAGTAAAGAGGGACGAAGGGCAAGCATTCAGGATATCCTCATCAGACGAAGATGAGGAGTGCGACGATGGTGGAAGTTGAGCCGGGCCGCTGATTAAATTTCGGAGGCGGCTTGGTTGGACAGGTGGTTAGGTAAGCACGATATCAACCTCAGCAATTCCGATAACTACGCTGTAGTAAGTCGATGAACTTTCAACACCGAGTCGAGCCTTGATGGCTTGTCCATAGATGTCCCCCCAGCAGCATTTCGGTTTCTGACAATGCGAGAAACCGGATGGAGGAAGTTTCATGCACCATGCCAGAGTGGCTACACAGGAGACAAACTCTTCACAACCTGAGCCCGGCTTTCTCACGAGGTTTCTGCATGCGTTCTTGAACTTTTCGTCCCACGTTTGAGATCCCCCGAAATGTGTAACCATAGCGAGGGCGCTTCTGGTCATGTATGTTTAGCACGACATTCTCCGCATGGTTTGCCTGGCTAGCGTGGTGGTTTCAGCGTCGACATCAAACACCGAGACGATCAAACAGGTATGTATATATGTATGTACCCATCCAAGCCGGTCTGGATCCGTCAATGTTTGCTATCTGTCAGCTTGCACCGAGGGATTCCGTTGAAGTGTCCTCTGCGACTCGGCCTCCTGGTTGGTTTTTTACACGTACATACCTGTCCGAAGAAATTTCCCCGTGAGTGTAATGAGTGTAATGGTTGATTTGCTGCTATTCACTTACGATAGTCGAGCACAGCGGCAATAGAACCTTGCCAGGTAGTTTTAACAGTGGGAGAGGGGGGGGATGGGGGGTTAAGCATGAAGAATACCATGAGGTCTGGGGCTATATTCTCATTGCGATTTCCAGGAGCAGGCATGATTCCTCTTATAGCTCCAACAATGTAGAGAACGCAGACGCTTGGGCCTCGAAGATTGGGCAGACAGACTGACCAATCGACCATCTACTTACTGTCCCTCATACTGGCTTGCCATATACGACTCTTCAACACCTACGGGAACACTGGCACAGAGAAATCCTCGTGTTTACTACCCCATGCAAACTCGGAAAATATATCTGCAGTACGGCCTTGCATCATGTCATCAGCGACAACAACCAAAGAACAGAAAGCATTCACCCAGGGGACTCTCCCCGCTTCGTGGTACCATTCGACCCAGCTCTACGAAGCGGAACGGCGTGCTATATTCTCCCAGAAATGGCTGCAGATCACCCATGCAAACCGCTTCACAGATCCGGGAGATTTTGCGAGTTATGAAATGGCTGGATATCCTTTCTTCATCATTAAAGATCGCAGCGGTGAATTGAGAGCGTTCCACAATGTCTGCCGACACAGGGCTTTTCCTGTTGTGAAAGAGAAGTCCGGGAAGGGTAGGAAGATTCTTTCGTGTGGATATCACGGTAAGTTTTGTTGGTGTACCTTATTAATTCTTATATCCAGGGACTGACAAACACAATCAGGTTGGTCCTACGGCTTGAATGGCAAACTTGCCAAAGCTCCCCGGTTCCAAAATTTACCCGATTTCAATGCGGAAAACTATTCTCTATTCCCCATCCATCTCCATATCGACCGATGCGGCTTTGTTTGGGTAAATCTAGACGCTCAAAACGTCCCGTCCGTGTCATGGGACGAGCAATGCGGGGCAGTCGATGCTCAAGAACGGCTTGGTGTTTTCGAAATGGAGAAGTATTCGTACCATCACTCATGGGAATTCGAGGCAGAGTACAACTGGAAGACGATGGTTGACAACTACAACGAGGTATGTTACCTTAGAGCCATTTTTAATCCAGCCATCCCCCTAAAATCAGAAAAGAGAAAGAGAAAGCAAAAACGTTTCGTCACAAAATAGCACACTCACAAGAGACCCAACTCTTTCTAACCCACCCAGTGCTACCACTGCTCGTCGCGAATCCCGCCATTGCGGCAACCACAGACCTAAAAAACTACAGCGTGGCCACTGAACAGGGCTTCATCGCGCACTTCGCGCGCCCCAAGCCCGAATACGCCGCGGATAACAACTCGAACGTGGCCCCGACCTACGTCTTCCCCAGCTCCGCCATCACTATCAACTCGGTCTACCTGTACCTCACGCGCTGCGTGCCGTTGAGCGCCACCAGCGTGCGCATGGAGTACGAAGTCTACCGCCACGCCGGGTGCGCGGACGAGGAGTTCGCAGCGATGGACACATTCATGAAGCAGATCGAAGAGGAGGACCGCGTGCTGTGCTCACTGGTGCAGGCAAATTTAAACGTGGGCGTGTATCGGAGCGGGCCGCTGCATCCACGTGAGGAGATGGGGGTGGCATATGTGAAGGGCCTGGTCAAGCGAGCCGTGATGGCGCATGTGCAGCGGGAGAAGGAGGCTGGTGTTGAGATATGGCCGGTTGCGGTGGGGAGGGAGGATGGGGCGCCGAACCCGGAGGCCGAGGAAGAAGAGGCGTTTTGTAAATCGCTGTGTAATGGGGGCTCTTTGGAAGAGTTGTCTTGGTAGACGGGGAGGGGAGTGCGATATTCACCTTCATCCGAGGAGCTAGACGTAGGGATGGGGATGGCTAGCTATCACCAAGGGTTTGTTTTAATTTTAATCGTGGGGGTTTGGATGAAATAGCGGAGTCCTGACCCAGGGCTCGATATTTCCCCATGCACAAGGGACACGCAATACTATTTATTATATCAAAGGCCGGTATAACCCGTACAACAGAATCTATTGCCCTTTGATAATCAGTCTAGTATTTTGAGAGCGCATTTGAACATACTGTAGCTACATTTATCTGATCTTGAGTAGTGGGGACTCCGACTCGGATCCCCAAACATAGCAGCACACATAAGTATTAGCTCATATCGATATGTTTCTTCTATCCGACAGCACGGCTTCTAGTTTTTTACTATACTCCAGGCAAACCAAAGAAAGGTACATTGCTTAAACTTGGGAACTCCTGAATCCATTCCACCCAAGATCCATCCGGGGCCCCCTTGGCAATTCCAAACACCACGGCACCCTCATTACCACCACCACATCACATCACGTCGTATCAAATCAACACGATACATCCAGCCCACGCCGCTTCAGCGCTCGCGAGCAACAACCTCACCCCACGCACAATCTTTCTCTCCCTCCCTCCCTCTCTCTAAAAAACCCAAATCGAAGGGCCAAAACCTTTTCAAGCCACCTGATTGGTCCCCCTTGGCGCAAGCTTGTCGGCGCCACGGCTTGGCCACCCGTTCGTTCACGATGATCGAACCCGCAGCGGACTGTGCAAGGGGAGGCTTGCATCCGCGGCTAACGAGCGTGTTTGATTGGGTACGTCACGCAGCAGATGGAACTGCTGGACGTAACTGTGTACTAGTGTGTATGTATGTATGGGGGGGGCGGGCGGGCAGGCGGGAAAGCGGGGTCAGCGGGGTCAGCAGGGTCAGAAGACATCGCTGGGATGTGCTCGGGCTGCAGATGAGGGGCAGTGGCGTTCATGAGGGGCGGCTTTCTGGACTGGGTAATGGAGGAGGTATTGTTAATATTGGGTGACGGGGGGAAATTGCTTGGGGTTTGGGGTGAAATAATTAATAGATTCCGTTCAGGTATTATGTATTATATTTACAAAGAGTGTACGGAAGGTATATACAGGTACGGCTGGTTAACGGAAACTGATAGGTCCCCTTCCAACAGTAAAAAGGTGCCAAAAGAAGGGTGGTGTGGCTAGGTGGAGGAGATATCCGTATGTTTGTGTATATATGTGTATGTATGTATTGAGGATATATGTAGTTCGAGGTCAGGACACTCAGAGAAGGCGAACGACAGGTCAGGTTTTCAAACATGTATATAAAATAAAGAATAGACAAAAAAATATATAAAGAGTAAATAACGCAGAATAACTAAATAGAGCAGGGGGAAAAAATGGTGAGAGGAACCAAAACAGCAGTGGTATCATCGAAGGAAACGAATGCAACCAGGACAACAGAAACAAGCTCTTTTAACAGGAAATATGAAAAATATATGAAAAAAAAAAAAAAAAAAAAAAAAAAAAAAAAAGCAGCAGCTAAAATAAACGACCAATCCTAATCCACATAGAGAGGAAAACTTCAAAACAGCAAAAATAGACGCGAGTACCACGATGGCTCAAGAGAGTATGCTATCAATTGAATTTGCGAACATGGGATGGACATATATGAGACAGCCAACAGCCAGCTACCAACACAGCACAACGATGAACCAAACACACGGATAAACGGCCCAGATCCAAGCTAGGTTAAAAGAGAGGTAGGAGTAATGAAGGAAGTACCCAGCGAGGGGGTGAAAAAAAGAAAATAATAAAATATATAAACCAATGGACCGGGGCCGAGGAGGGGGAGGGACGGTAGAGGACGGCGACGACGTCCGCGACCTAAAAAAAGGAGGGGCGAGTAGGGCGAGGGGAGTTTATCGCACGACACCCATAAGCCTAGTAACGAAAACGAAAAAAAAAAATAAAATAAAAAAAAATAAAAATAAAAATAAAAATAGGTTTATAACCAAAAATGAAAGGAGGCAGCTGGACGATACAACACCGCGCAATGTGATAGAGCGCGGGCTGCACTTAGCAGATCCCCGCTGCCTGGGCGACGAAGGCAGACTGGTGGGTGTGGGTAAGGAGAGGTGTTGTCATTGATGTGACGGGAGAGGTTTGGGGAGAAGAGGGAGCGGATGGTTAAATGTTTGCCGGCGAGGCGAGGAAGTATACGATAAGAATGAAGCAGGAGAATAAGTTGTGAACAAGAAACAAACAAGGATATTCGGTATCGGAGGTTGGCGGAAAGGAGGAAAGGGGGTGGGGGTGTATAAGAAGGCGGAGAGAGAGATGGTGGGAGGGTTGGAAACCGATACCAAATGGGCGAAGGATTTCCATGTCGTATTGACCGCTTGATGACCCCCAATAAAACCAATCAACACCATTCCAGAGACACCGTTTCAACTCATCATGGCTCCTGAGACACACTTATCCACTTCCAAGTTTTCTATAACACACAGATAGAAAAGTGTAATAAGGAAAGAAGCAAGAGGAAAATCAAATAAAAACTCGTGCTCTTAGAGCGCGGTCGGACGGCGCAAGATCTCGTCGCAGTTAGCATCAAAACGCATATCCCACAACCGAATGCTATTCATCAACTTCTCCGTGTTCTCCAACTCGCGGTCGCGACCAAAGATCGAATCGACAAATTCGCACCCGGCATTGCGACCCATCTGGACGGGCCCTCCCTTGCTGCTCTCCCGCTTCGCAGCCTTCCACATGAAATGTTCACACGCCTTTAGCAGTTTCTCGAACCGATGCCACAGCCTCTCCCCACTTTCCAGAAAGTCTTCCACCATCTCCCGTGCTTCCGTGTTGCGTATTCGCGGCCCGCATTCCTGCGCCCGTTTTACTTTGCCCGCCAGTTTGATAAGAAGCAGCCACAGATCGCCCGCAACGTCGGCCATTGGCGCAGAGGCTCCGTGGTGGAACATCGTCCAGTCGTAAATCCACTTGCCAAGGGAATTGGCATCGAAAACGCTACCGAGGAGGACGATTGGTTCTTCGTTGGGATCCCAGTGCTTTATCGAGTAGCCTTCCGGAATACCCATGCGGATGGCATCTGCCTCGGTGGCTTTGGCGTGTTTTGACGTAGCAGCAGCAGCGGAGGCTTTGGGTTTCTGTGGAGTGCGGGTGGAGGTGGAGGCGCGACGAGCACGGGAGCGTTTGGGAGAGTCCGCTTCATCATAGACGGGAACCTGGTTGCAGGAGAAAGACTGATCAGTGGTTGGCTTTGCCTTACGATAAAAAAGATATTCAGCAGCACTCCGTCTAGCAGCCGAAATTTTGGGTTCACCAAAACCACGGCTGGCGCCCCCGGCCGATGTGCCGTGAGGCACAAACGGAGAAGGCACATAGGATGAAGAGTGAGGCGTATCGAAAGCATCGTCAACCACATCGGTGAAGAAGGGTCGTTTCTGCGATCGCCACGTCGAGGTGGGGTGGTAAAAGGGGTCGCCAGTCGGCATGGAGGAACGGCGACGCGCTGTCCCACTTGTTGCACCGAAGTGGCTTTCGCCATAAGCAGCACTTACTTTTTCGTGCTTTCGCGGAGGCGAGGAATAGCCGTGCACTGAATCATAGTAACCCGCATACCCTTGTGGCATCGACTGCCAACCACCTGCCGGTTCCTTGGCAGCCGAATAGCTGGCACGGTAAGAATGCCGCTTGGAACGAGGAGAAGCGTGCGGCGAGGCGTAGTTCGCGGGGTAATAGGGGTAATGAGGGGGCGAAGTGGTCGCATAGTCGTAGGATGACCACCCAGGCGGTGGTTGTGCGGGATATTGATACATTATCGATAGAGGAGCATAGAGACACCGAAAAATTCAAATTTTTTGAAAAAAAAACCCCCAAGTAAAAATCAAAATCAAACAGATCAACGACGTTTTCGTTTTAAAACGGCTGAGAAAAAGCAAGTCCCTCCCAGGGGAAAAAAAAAGAAGACAAAGAAAGAAATTTATGCCAAAAAAAAAAAAAGCAGAACGCACAAAAACCACAGAGTATATTGTACAGGATATCGCTCCCAGAAATGACAACAAAGAACAAAACCAGCAAGGAAGTGAAGATGCCCGTCACCGCGGTGAGGTGTCTAGAGGAGGCAAGAGAAAGAGATTTGAATGATCTTGCCCGTCGTGCATTGGAGCTCTGGCAACGACTCGTGGTCGAGAGAACAAGAGAAGAGAGGCGAGAGTGGGAAGGGAAGATGCTGGATGGAGAACAATGAATCCAAACAACGGAGCCAGCCACCACAGAGGTTCGAAGGGTGTTGCAAGCTGAAGATTTCAGTGATAACCGTGGGACGACGGCTGGTCAGTCAGGACTCCTCCTCTGGCAGCGGGATGGACGTTGGGATGTTGAGAAATGGATGATTGTGCGAAGGAAGAGAAGAAAAGCCGAAGGAGGAGGTTGGGGCAGGGACAGGTAGTGTATGTATTTAATATTGATTAGCGATGACTGTGGGCGGGGCCAGCGGAAAACTCTGTCTCTGTGTGTGTGTGTGTGTCATATACCGTGTCATATACCGTACTGTACAGATCTGTATAATAACCCCCAGTGCACACACACCACACAAACGGAAGCGAGCGACCGGTTGTAGGATATTACGTGGGACAGTACTCCGTACGGAGTACCAATGCCCCAGCTGTATTCTTGTTTTGTGGCTTGGGCCCCAATATCGGCGTGGAGTTTAGAGCCCACGCTGCGTGGCCTGTAGCAGGCACCCCCGGCCCTGATTGGCCAGCAACCCACCTCCACAGGGCGAGGACGACCCTGCGCTGACCCATCACAGCCGCCCATGATGGGCTGCTGGGACGATACGCCAGCCGTATGTATTGGGCAGGGAAGTTGGGGAGTCAGGGTATTGTTCAGTATCACTCGTCGTGACGGCCTGTTTCGTATCCGTATTACCCCCCGTTCAGCTGCCTCGTCCAGGGCCACACATTCGAGACACCAAGAGACAAAACAAACGCGCTTTTCAAAGTCTCAAACGAAATATCAGAGACTGCTGGACGGAGAAGGGCCAAGCAAAAATTATCTCGCCGAGAGTGAGTCTTGGACCCTTGCGCTTGGAAATCTCTTCTCTCTTTATTCTGTATATTATAGAAAAACCAACTTTTCTGTGCAAAAAACGCTGTAACGTGACCTCATGTGGCCTCACGTGCACCCCGTCAAATCCATGAAGAGATTGAATGGCCAGCTCAACAGCCGGCTCTGCAGCCTGTACAGCTCTGATATTAATCTTCATTCTTTTCTTTACAGATGTTCTCTATTGTATTTATGTTCTTTATATTCATCTCTATATTCATTACAATCTATACATTTATTGATATACTCCTTTCATGTGCTGCTGCATGATGTGTGGGAATTCTCATTCTTTCAGTATGTTTGAACAGTCTCAATCCGATGCATTATTCCATACATGCTCCACATGCTGTCAAGCCCAGCATCACATATGTCAGTCATGTTCAGTTCAAATCTTTCATCTATCATTAAGAAATGTAGCTGCTTCTGTGCTCAACTCATATTGAATTGAATTGTCATATTATAATATATACTGTGAAGACTGTCTGTCTCATCTGTTTCACACTGTTAATCACATCTTCAAAAACTGCAATGACTGTAGAGCCTTCAATTATGAATATGTTTGTAATGTTAAATAATGATGTTTGACAATTGCTGTAGCAGTTTCTGCAGCAGATGAATCTGCTGATTATATATATATATAAATTCATTGAAGCAATTAATTTTTAATGATCTCAATATTCTGTAATGCACTCGTTTATTATTTCCTTATTATTATATTATCTTTGTTTATATCTTCGTCTATTCTTACCTCTTTCCATTATACTCTCGCTACCACTATTTCTGTATGTATATATATATGGATGCATGTATTTCGCACATCTTCTTTCTCTTTCTTTTCCTCTTCAGCGATTAGCTACAACTACAACTACAACTACAACTTCAACTTCAACTATACTACTACTATAATTATTATTATCTTCCACTACACTATATACTATCTTCTACTATTCACTCTTCACACTGTCATCACCCCTCACAGTTTCTAATCGCTCAATCTTCGAGAGACGGTCCGTTGAGTAATAGTCATGGCCTCTACCCGCAGCATCCGCCGTACTCGTGCTACCGCCGAACCAGAAGCAACAAACACCAGTGAAGAAAACCGTGAAACGCGCACCCCTGCCACTGAAAGTGTGCAACAAGCATCAACCTCTCCTATGGAACCAGACTCGGAGCATAGTTCAGAAGGGGACACCTCTTCTGAAGATCTGAATGCAATTGAGGCCGAGAAGATAGCTGTGACTAGGAGAATTAAGAAGTTACAGGCTGAGAAGGAATTGCGAGAACTCCAACACCGGTGCAATACTTTACTGCAAGAATTGGATGAAACCATCCCAGCCACCCGAAATACACTCGAAGCGCATCCGAACCATGGTAGAGACGCAACTAGCGTGAATTGTAACCGCGAAAACGCCACAAGCATCCTCGGACCACCGGAACCTACCCTACAAGCGCCCAATACCTTAGTGGAAAGCGCCGTGACTACTGTCAGTGGGAGACGTAGTCGGGTACCACTTTGGCAATTAGAACTTCGAGATCCCGGCATGAGCGGTCACCCTCCTCGGAGAGATGTGGAAAAGTTCCGAGGCCAAAGCATGAAAGAATTTGAAAACTTTGTTACAGCTGCTATCGCTTTCCATGCCAGTGATCTTGATTATTACAACGAACACGACCATCGGAAGGTCATCGAAGCCGTCACTCATTTCAATGTCGAGATGCAACAACGTTGGTATCAACATACACATGATATGCGGATTTTGCCACCATGGGAAGAATTTGTTAGCTGGATGCAATGTCAAGTCACCGATCCAGATAAAAGTTTCCGAGATGCAGATAGACAGTACTGGAAAACAGAGCAACAAGAAGATCAGACAGTTCAACAATTTGCTTCACATTTACAATCAATTGAAGGGCGTCTGCGGCATCCTTATAGCGAATACCATCGGAAATCACACCTCTACATGAAAGTTCTACCTTCCATTCGCCGAGAATTTGACAAATATGCAACCAAACTAGAAGAGTTAAGCTATGATGCCACTCTTCACAAACTTGCAATAGCAGAATCAAATCTGCCAGAAAGACGGAAGAAACTTAAAGAGAAGTCAAACTTCAGAAACCCTACTCAAAGCTTTAACAACAGAAATAATGCTGGTAATAAGCCACAAAACAAACGCAGATGGAATGACACTACAAAGTCCGATGACTCCACCCGATCGAAATATTGCCGTTATTGCAAGCGACCAGGACATACCGTCGATTCATGCTTCAAACGACCCAAAGATGAATCCAAGAACACTAAATCCGACTCGAAACTCAATGCGAAAGATACGAAGAACACAAAGGACTCAAAAAACGCTTAAAGCGCGCCATTCAGCTCGCAATGGCAACTATAAGCGCGGAAAGTCGATGCAAAAATGCCTTAAGTTTCAATGTCACAGTGGAAATCACTACGCCTAAGAGTCTGCAAAAAGTGCTTGCACTAGTAGACTCTGGGTCAGAAGTGAACTGTGTCGATGAATTTTGGGCAAAAGACCACAATCTAGAAGCTGCTCACCGCAAAACCAAGATGGTCAAATCGATTGATGGATGCATAATGCGCTCCTTTGGAGAGTATAACATTGCAACCACTGTCACTGATCACAAGTGTAATGCACAGCAGACATCTCATTCCTTCCATGCGATGAAAATGAAGGACTACAATCTTGTGTTAGGATTTCCTTGGTTAAAACAAACAAATCCTCTTATAGATTGGTCAGATGGACAATTCTTCTTCAGAAGCTCTGGAGATGAACAACAGCCTCAAATTATTTCTGAACAAGATGTTTTAGCTGAAGTTCTCACCGGAGCCAGAGTAGGAATGCTTGTAGTATTACCTACAGAATGTTCAAAAGACCCAAAGCATGCTCCACGCGTATTCTCGGCTGCATATTCGGACTTGCCGACCGGCCTACCCGATTATGTTATGCCATACGCGCATATCTTCTCAGAAGAAGCTGCTATAAGCGCGCAAAGACCAGAAGAGGCGGAACACCGCATAGATCTCGAGCCTGGTGCGCGACCTCCATTCATGCCGATATACAACCTCTCTGAAACTGAGTTAGCTGCCCTAAGAGAATATTTAAAGAATGCATTAGACAAAGGGTGGATACAACCGTCCAGTAGCCCGGCTGGTGCACCAATTCTCTTTGTCCCCAAGAAAGATGGTGGACTCCGTCTTTGTGTAGACTATCGAGGGTTAAATCGAATCACCATCAAGAACCGATACCCTCTACCTCTAATAAGTGAATTACTTGACAGGCTCTCAAAAGCCAAGGTATTCACTAAGCTGGACCTTCGAGATGCCTACCACCGCATACTTATAGCGGCAAAAGACCGTTGGAAGACAGCCTTTAGAACGAGATATGGACATTTTGAATATGTAGTTATGCCATTTGGATTAGCTAATGCTCCAGCGACATTTCAAGCATACATTAACAATGCCTTGTCTGATTTGTTGGATATATGTTGCGTTGTTTATTTGGACGACATTCTCATATTCTCCAATTCAAAGCAGGAACATAAAGTGCATGTTACTAAGGTGCTAGAACGTCTCGAGCGTGCGAATCTATTTGCAAAACTCTCTAAGTGTGAGTTTGAAGTGGACAAAGTCTCGTTTCTGGGGTTTGTTATAGGTACAAATGGTATTGAGATGGAGCCAGACAGAGTCTCCACT